CCCCAAGAGTTCGCGGAACTCTTTATGAATTTTCAAATATTGTTATTCTGAATTATGCAATTAAAATACATAAAGCATGATAAATTTATAGATGGTAAAGATACCATTTTTCAAATTAGATATCCATTTCTTTTAATTATTTGCTGATTCCCATTTAATTTCAGTCATTAATGGCTTCGTTTGAAATGGAAGAATGGGTGAAACCTGTAAACACTTTCGTGCTTTTGGGGAGACCAGGATCTGGTAAAAGTCGAACAGGCAATACAATTACAGGTTGTGATAAGGCGTTTGAGTTTGGTTTTCATGCAAAAAGAACACCTAAAAGGTGTGAATCAAAGCGAACGGAAATATGTGAAACTGAAGTTTGTGTAATCGACACTCCTGGTGTTTCCTTCTTTGAAAAACAGGATTATGAGGACATTCAATCGATAATGCCAGAAGAAGGACCAAGTAAAATAATTTTTCTTCTTTGCATATCTATTGGAAGGCTCACAGAGGAAGAACTGTTGCTTATAAACCAGTACTTTATAATTTTTGGTAATGATTTTTCAGAGAATACTATTATAATATTCACTCACTTGGATGAATGGGAGTCCGACATGATTGACTGCAATGTTGAGAACCCAACGTTTGACAGTTATCTTCACACCTTACCTGAAGAAACAAAGAGTATGTTCGGACGATTCCATAATAGGTATCTGACACTTAACAACAAACAGAAAAAGAGTGAAAAAATGCAGTGGACCTTAAAACTGATGACAATTGCCAATTCTATGCAAGGTTTTACCATGTTAAACACATTTGCTATTGTTAGCTATTCAAGCTATCTAAGAGATATAGCTAGGAGCTACTCAACCTATCTTGCAGAAATGGCTTATAGGTGTTTGAGGAACATTCAAGAAAAAGTATTTCGACAATGATTGAACTTTATGTTTGAATGTTCGTTAATGCTTTATTCTTAATTAAAATTATTCTACAAATAAAATGAAATGTTTCCTTAAATTGTTATTATGTGATATCAACAGGTTTTGGTTTTATTCACTGTTTAACATAATAATCAATGGAAATGGACCAGTTACACTACGAATATTAAATAAAGGGTTTGGAGAAATGGAGAATTGTTTGGTCAATTTAACAAACAATTTAATAAGAATTGTTCGAGTTGAATTTCTTGGGCCGAGATTATAAAGAGTAGAAATATGACCGACAGACTATCTTTTAGTTGTTTTATGACTGATACATGTCATCTTTCGGTATGTTTATACCCCGTTTCTGTTAAAATATTTTGAAATATTCTTTTGATGTTTGTATGATAGAAACATAATAAAATATTTTTCATATAACTACACAATCATGTCTGCCAATACTTTTGTAGGAAAATTCTAAAGACATCTTTTTTCCGCTGCGAATGTTCTAAAATGTTTAGATGGACTTGATTTGATGCAACTTTTTTTTATTTTTGCGATTCTTAGTACTCTTCAACTGTGTTACTGATTTGGCCTTCAAACTAACAACACAGTATTTAAACTGCTAATATAGAAATGTTATTGGCAAACAGTGGACAAATCGGTAGCTTTACTTCCAACAAGATATCCTAGAGCAAAGCAGTGAAGGACAAAACGAGCATGAGCAATGCTCAAAATAAAACTACAGAATCATGTCAAAACAAATATAAAAAAAATAAACGAAACATTGTACTATTGCTCCAGTTAAACTAAAAATAAGCAAATTAGATTTATAAATTTTCTTGTTTGTTTTTTTACTGGTTTGCTTTAGCAATTGGATCATTGAAATGGCTATGAATGTTTTATTTGTTTTCAGTACAACATGGCTACTCCAATCAACTTTTCAGACCAAACCATTAATTTAGTTCTACTGGGAACAATAGGATCGGGTAAAAGCAGAACTGGTAATACTATTCTTGGATCTAATGAAGCATTTAAATTTGGATTTCAAATCGAAACTAAATCTTATGCAATAGAAAGAGCATCGCGTTTTGAAAGACACCTGCGTGTGATTGATACTCCAGGAATGGATATTTTTTTACCAGAGGAAAGTGTGAAATTACAAAAATATGTTTTGGAAATGGCTCAGGGGAATATCATATATCTTTTATGCATTAAGATTGGGCGTTTCACCGAAAAAGAAAATATATTGATCAAACAATACATAAGGTATATTGGTCAAGATTTTGAAAAAAGGACCATTGTAATTTTTACTCATTTAGACGAGTGGATATCAGATTCTCGTGATCAAGGAATATTGGAACCAAAATTTGAAGACTTCATCGCGACTCTCGATAAAAACTCTATTGAATTGCTTGAACAATTCGATATGAGATATAAATCTTTAAACAATAGAAAAATTGGAAATGATGAGATTGTGAAGCAAATAATATGCATGGCGGAACAATTAACTCGACAGTCGCCTGTTTCAAGAGCTGTTCCTCAACGTCAATGTGACCTCGAAGTCGAAAGTCGGTCAATTTTATGTTGTAATTATATGTAAAGGCTGTATAAAGACAAAAGTGTATAATGGAAAGCAAATAATAAAAAGCATCAGTAAAACTGTTTCGGTGCATTTCATGGTATCTATTACATTAATAAATGTATTATTATTCAACATCTATCCCCGGAAATAATTTTCTACGTTTATCAATTTCATAAACACAAAGAAATTAATATCATTGAATCGTTTTTTACATAGTTAAGTTTATCATTTGTAATCCTCAACATCAAGATAGAATTGATCTCTAGTGTTTATAATAATACAAAAAGAAGTAGCTTCTATTTTAAAGAATTATGGATTTCAAAACTAATATAAAAAAAAGAAGATGTGGTATGATTGCCAATTAGACAACTCTCCACAAGATACCAAAGACACAGAAACTACTCTTTTCATATTTTCGTTTTATCAAATCTTCGTGTATAATTTGAAGTTTAGCGGACATATAATTACAATGCAGTTTTCTATATTTAAAAATCTGACGTTTTTTTTATTTACTTCTATTTTACTGTAGTTTCCTCATTAATTTTTTTTCGTGCTATTATGTTTCTTTCTGTCTCATGCTTTTTGACGTGACTCGGTATTTATGCATCCAGCCATCGGATTTTTGACTTTTTAACTTTGGGCATTCTTGGGGCAGGTTGGTCGCGATGTGCGATTCGGACACACTATTTTTTGGCAGTGTTGTTTCTATTTTCTGTACCCTTGTATTTATGTTTACTTAATTTTTATTTTTGAGAGAGTTACTATCAACGACAAAAACTTTTTCCGTGTTGACGTCATTGTCAAATTTACGTACCGATGAGTCTTTTGTAGACGAAACGCGCTTCTAGCTTTCAAAGGTACTTTTGAGTAGGACATGAAATAGGGATTTCTAAAATCTAATTATAGTTTGCCATGTATTCATTGTGTTATTGTGCTATGGTCAATTTTGAGTTCTTGTCTTTCATTTTTGCTTATGAACTTTGTCTATATGCCATTTTGTGTTTCTTTGTTGTAACAGTTATTTTTTTTTATAGTGATTAAGATTATATTACAATGTTGACTGCTGTACCCCAATTTTGACATTTTTACCTATTATATAGATATAGGAAGATGTGGTATGACTGTTTGTTTTGCTCACACATTGTTGTCAATATAATGGAATTCTATGCGACTGTCATACAAGTGAGAAGTTTAGCTAGCTGTAAAACCAGGTTTAATCCACCCTTTTCTACATAAGGAAATGCCTGTACCAAGTCAGGAATATGACAGTTGTTTTCCATTCGTTAGATGTGTTTGGGCTGTTGATATTGCCATTTTATAAAGGACTTTCCGTTTTGAATTTCCCTTGGAGTTCGGTATTTTTGTTATTTTTCTTTTTTCTTATATGTGCTTTAAACATATTTTTTACTCAAAATTTGATTCTAGCTCAGATCATTTCTAGAAAAGTGTAGATAGACTTATCTCTGTAATAGCTTTTTAGAAAAGAGAAGGAAGGTATTTGGACAAATAGTTTTCTAAATCCATCGGTTTATGTCAATTATATGTTTTATAACAGTTGCTATTATTTCCAACAAGAGAATTTAATTCATGTGATTTTTAACCTATAAGTTACTATTCTATTAGTGGAAGAGAAGTTTTAAATGTCAGTTTAATTTTGCGTTGCCACAACTCACCTTGATGTAACGCATACACAATATGCCTTCCCTGTCTAAATATATCTTTGTAGAAATTAAAATATTACTTTAAAAATTTATCCGTTCATATGTCAAATGTCAAATCACTATAAGTACATTAGCAGTCTCCATAACGATATTGTTCGGACACAAAGTCTAAAGATTTGTTGAAGAATTGATGTTCTCCTTTGCACGAATTGCTGTTATTCACACAGGCACTATTCGTTTGGTATCGACTTTATCCGTCTCATCAGCATGATTTCGTAACTCATCTTTGTAAATCTCTAGCGGAGAAAGTTTGACGATGGCACGATTCGGGTGTGTCGTACGGCCACTATTAATAAATAAAAAAACAAAGGATATGGGGTATTCATTCATCACAAAAAATCAGTACATGCACAGCAGCAAATCACACAAAAAACAAAGCATGATAAAGGATGACAGAACATGTTGTACAACTTAGATGGCATACACGCATGATTAAGGACGATATGGCCTGTTGCACATTTTAGAGTGTTTATAAGCATGATAAAGGACGACTGGGCCCGTTACATATTTTAGGAGCGGAATTCTTTACAAAATGATTCGGTTAGACTTTATTCAATGTAACACCACCAAATCGGACCCGGTTAAAAAAAGAACATACTGGAACTAGTATATATTTAAAACAAAATAGTTCCTACGCATAGGTGTAAATAAAAAACTATGTAGAATACCAATCTAATTAAAATATAGTTCTCTGATTTCGTTATACTCATATGAGATCTAACACCGATGCGTATATAGTTTCACTTCTGAAGGATTTTGCATGTGACTTTTTCAACCCATCAGAATGGTCGAATTCCGCAATAGCTATTCCGGTTGTTTTTCCGTATACGTTCCCGATATTATTTTTATCATCTACTTCCGGGACGTCTCTCATCATCAACATATCATAGCAGCCACAATCAACAAGACGCAATTCACAAAATTAACTTACTATTTACGATCATCGATAATATATAAAGGTAAACAGTTTTGCTTTGGTATAGTACAACATATATAGATGTGTTTTAATACAGAATCAAACTTTTTTTCATCTAGAAAGATGGATTCTGACCCAATCTCCTATAGTTTTGTACATTTTTTGCGTAAATCTTGTACGTTAAAATCGTACACGGCAGGACCAGTATATCGCATTTGTATTTATGTGTACCCTTGGGCTAAAACAGGTTGAGAACAACCCTCTCAATGAGGAATGTCCCTCAAACAAGGGTTTATTTTCATGTTGTGGATAATTAGAAAACCAGAAAAACTTATCCTTTTTAACTAAAAAGGGGGGAAATTATTTATTTTTGAAACAACATTTATAAAAGTGGGGTCCACTTTCTTTTAATTATAAAGAGGAGATACAAGTGAATATTACAAAATTCTTGGACATGTTTTGACCATGTAATATAAGATACTGATAGATATAAAGTTCTTTAGGCAAAGTTTCATCAAATAATATAAATATGTGCCCTTTTCTACCAAGAATTGTTTTTACAAAAAAAAAATAAAAAATATATCACTAGAAATGAAACTTTTCTCTAAGAACTATACATCTATCTTGTATTATATGCCATAATATGGTTAAACATGTCCAAGAATTTTGTAATATTCACCTGTACCCCTTATAAAAGGGATAGACTTTACATTGAGGGGTTGTTCCCAACCTGTAAAATGGCTGTGTTTTCATCTCAAAATTTACTCTGAATACATACAAACCTTTGCATCTGGAAAAGTTGTAAGGCATAGCAGAGAGTGTTTTAATATTAGCTATTATTAGTCTTAGAGTGCTAAATTTTAAGATAAAGAATATATAGAAAAACAAATTAAAAAAAAGAATAGAGAATAATGGGATATATATTAAAATATAATGATTAGAGAATAATGTGCAAACAGTACAAAGAATGAAGATTAATGAAAAAAGAAAAATGCCCTACAAAATAAGAGAATAGAGAACAATGGACCCCATACAGGCCCTCATATCACATGTATCATGCTCTCAGTTTTTAATTTTCTAAAACATAAAATTAATTTGCATTTTGTTTATCTATACTATGAAACTCAGAGTAAATTTTGAGGTGAAAACACAGAAACACAACCTTAGCCTAAAGGTGACTGCAGGGTCAATATGAACCTTAGTCAACTATGAAGAGTGTGAAATACTACATGTCAGCTATAAATCTTCAAAGTTAAATCCTAACTGCATCTTTGTCATATCAAAAATAAGGAGATGTGGTACTATTGCCAATGAGACAATCATATACCCGAGTTCAAATGAAGTGGATGTAAGCAATTATGGGCAATCGTACATCCTGCAACAATGAGACATACTCATACTGTATAGATATATATTACAGATTACGAATGTGTTGATATCCATAGATGTTAGCATTTATTCAGAAAACTACCAGGGTATATATACAACTTTTTCACCCCATTTAGAACCTCAACAAATTCATCATAACAAATGTTACTACTAGTATGTGACGAAGTCTTAAGCTGTACAGTTTGTCATAGGCTCACACAGGGAAAAAAAATACTTATATCAGTCAATAATACGCTTCTTATTTAAAGTCACTTGGTTTGAATATCAAATACTATTAAAATTGATGTCTCAAATTGTTATAACATATTATTTCGCACGCAATAAAATTATTTTCACAGCAAATTACTATATTCCTCACATATGCGGAAAATATATATACTGTATACAGTTATCTCTTAATTCTAATGAAAGATCTGTGAAAGAAGTGAAGGGGGCTCCAGTCATGCTTCAGTGATTCCCTATATAATCAACCAATTTTTTTCCACGAAAGGGGGTCCCTGGGCCCCCCTGGAAACGCCTATGGTTATTATCTTTTATTAATTTTCTTATATATATAACCCGTGGAGGGAAAATATAATACAAGCACAAACGAAATAAATATATACTCATCCAGTCACATTACTCACATTATTTAAAATCTCGCAATAAATTATAATTGCTAAATTTACAGTACATATTGAAAACCTTGCATTCAATATATATAAAGTTCTCTTTTTTTAGGATGGGTAAAAGATACTGTTGCGTTCCGGGATGTAGCAACACCTCTGACAGTGTAGATTTAAATGGCAACAAAATTATTTTGCATCGTTTCCCAATGTCAGAAAAGAAAGCACACATCAAAAGACTATGGATTCAAAGATTGAACAATGTAAGAGCAAATTTGGTGGTGAAAGACCATACTAGAGTGTGCAGTGCTCATTTTGAAGGGACATTCACAGATGAATCCATACCAACCATATTCCCTAGCAAGCCAAAAAAACAGGAAACTCCCCGCCGACCATTGATTAGGAAATTAGGCAATAATAATGAGTTGAATGATGCTGAAGAAAATGAAAACCCAGTTGGACTTGAACCATACAGCAAATTCAGATCAGTGTCAACACAAACTGATGGTGTAGTTTTAAACCATGCTGAGACTAACACAGAAAACATATCTACTGAGACAGTAGAGGTTCAAACAGAGAGTTCCTTCTCTTCTGTTTCAGTAGAGCATGTAGAGGTGCAGGCAGACCTACCGAGAATATCTATTAAAAACATTCAAAATGATGATGCAAAAGTTCGGTTTTATACTGGGTTTGTCGGCTTTAAAGTCTTTTGGATGTTTTTTAGCACACTTGTCAAGCATGGTGCTGATAATTTAAATTATTGGGAAGGAGAGGCACGATCAATGGGACAAAAAACTTACCATGAACCAGGTGTTTGCAAACCAGGAAAGAAAAGATTTTTAAGGCCAATCGATGAATTTTTAATGACTTGCATGAGATTAAGATTAGCACTTAGACATGAACATCTTGCAGACATTTTCCGTGTGTCTGAATCTACTGTATCTAGAATAATGAACACCTGGATAAATTTTTTATATGATCATTGCTTGACACTGATTGCTTGGCCAACACGTGAACAAATTATGTGCAATTTGCCAAAACTTTTTACAGGACATCCTGATACGAGAATTGTTGTTGACTGCACAGAATTTTATATTGACAAACCAACTTCATTGAAAGCACAGTGGTTAACTTGGTCTGAGTATAAACATTCAAACACTTTAAAAGTATTGATTGGTGTTGCACCAAGTGGAATGGTGACATTTGTGTCTAGACTATGGGGTGGAAATGTGTCAGATCGACATATTTCTCAACATGACGGATTTTTACCGAAGTTATCACCTGGAGATGTTGTCATGGCAGACAAAGGTTTCACAATAGAGGATTTGTTACCAGCTGATATTGGTTTAAATGTGCCACCTAGAGTATCAACAAAGTGTCAAATGTCCTCCAAAGACTTTTTTAAAACTACAAATATTGCATCCGCAAGGATAGTTGTTGAAATGAAAATGGAACAAATTAAGAACTTTAACATTTTGAATTCTGGCATTCCATTAACTGAAGCCCATTTATCAGAACAAATTGTACTAATATGCACTGCTTTGACCAATTTGTTACCTCCACTTCTGAAGTGAAAATATTGAAAGGGATATAGTAAAGCCCATTTGTTGATACATTGTAATTTTCTGTATAGCTCATGAGAATTTTTTTTTCTTTCAATTTAATGCATGCATGTGATGATGTATAGAATTATCAACAATTCAAATTATCATGCTTAAAGATTTTCACTGTTTTGATAAGAGAAAATTATTTAGTCTATAATTTTATTCTGTTTCTTAAAAATGATTGACATGATTGACAACATGAAAGTTTTACAAGGTGGTGTTTTTTTTTTGTACAGAAAATGAGCTTTACTATTAAATTGCTGTTTTCATTTATATTTGAGATGAAACTTTGTTATATCCATGTATATCATGTAAAATGATGTATATTTGCTATTTATTCATGTTAAAAGTTCAACATATCAAGTTTTGCTTCGTTTTTTTACTGGTTTTGCTTCATTATTGAAGGCTGTACAATGACCTAGCCTATAGTTATAAACTTCTAAGTCATTTGAAGTCTGGTGAAGATATAAATATACACCATTTAATTATTCCATAAACCAAATATAGTTCACATATTCTTTATTGTCAGTATATGAAAATGAGGTCACAAGTCAGATGACACCTGCCAATTGGATATGCATATATACCATACACCAAATATAGTTGACCTATTGCTTTCAATATCTGAGATATAGACTTAATATAAAAAAGAAGATGTGGTATAATTGCCAATGAGACAACTCTCCAACCATTGTTTATAACCTTCAAAACTTAACCTTGTTCATCACTGATCCATGAAATGTAGTTGAGGGCAAATGAAAACTGTCTGAAAGACATGTCATGAGGCTTGCAAGGTAAAAATGTATAAACTTACAAAATTCAGTGAACTTATTACTCAAAATAAGAGAATGTCAAATTAAAAAATTCTTAGCTTTTTTCCAAACAATCACCTAACCATGAAAATGAGGTCAACATGCATATACATGTATGGTCAAGGACGTTTGACATATGACAGATGTAAATTTTGTAACATAAGGTATCTTATACAAAGTATTTTAAATCATCTACCTTCTGTAATATTGTTTCATGGCGTCACTATCACTACATGTATGTTTTGCTTTCTGGGACAGAAGTAAAAGACAATAAAACTGTTTTCTTTTACACATACATGTACGAACTATACACGTTGGTTATATTTCAACACAGATAATTCTATATATATTTTACTTATACATGTACATACCAGTAGAAGTCATCATAAACATTCTAGATCTTTATGTATAAAATAGTAATATTAATTTTGAAAAGTACTCTCAGATCTGTACCTAGTGTCTTTTTGTTGTTGGAATGTACAAGTACCTGGCCACGTCCACTTGTATTTTTTTCCATCTGATGAGTTAAGCCTTTTTCAACTGATTTTTATAGTTCGTTCTTATGTTGTACTGTTATACCACTGTCCCAGGTTAGGGGGAGGGTTGGGATCCCGCTAACATGTTTAACCCCGCCACATTATGTATGTATGTGCCTGTCCCAAGTCAGGAGCATGTAATTCAGTGGTTGTCGTTTGTTTATGTGTTACATATTTGTTTTTCGTTAATTTTTTGTACTTAAAAAAGGCCGTTAGTTTTCTCGTTTGAATTGTTTTTACATTGTCATTTCAGGGCCTTTTATAGCTGACTATGCGGTATGGGCTTTGCTCATTGTCGAAGGCCGTACGGTGACCTATAGTTGTTAATTTCTGTGTCATTTTGGTCTCTTGTGGAGAGTTGTCTCATTGGCAATCATACCACATCTTCTTTTTTTATATGATGAAGAAAAAAGAATGTCATAAATAACATGAATAAGTCATGAAGGATCAATCAAACATTTAAAGTAAAAATCTGACTTGGGTTTAATATTCTAATAAAGAGACTTTCCTCTCCTTACTCTTCTTGTAAAAAGTTCTGGAACAATTCCACTTACATAGAAGTTCTTTAACTTGGGTAACATTTCATCCCAAAGAGTTTGTGAAAAGTTTATTCTTTGAACATTTATCCCTTTCTTTGTCCAAACAACAACATCTGCCCAATCTAGTTCATACAGTGCTAGCTGACCTTGTACTTGATACATATAATTGTGATTTTCATCAAGATAAAGCTTAGAGTCTCTCTCTGTACAAAAGAATTTTTTGTCCTTGCCACATTCAATGGGAAGCATATTTCTCCAAGGTTTGTCATTAACATCAGAGCCATAAGGACACTTCACTTCAACAATGCCAGTTCCACACTTAGAACATACCACTAGACCATCAATACTTGCACCAAGATAGGGATAGGTGGGATTTACTAACAGTCCACATGATTCGATACGGACATCATCACAAGTTTTCAAGTGTGACCTTGTATAATCCCCAATTGCAACAGCTTCATTTTTGCGCCCATATTGAAGACTTTTCACTGCATCTGGTATCGTAATGTACCCACACAATTTTTTCACCAAGTTATCAGGCTCAAGTTTTTTACGCTTGACAACTTCCCCCATTACTGAAGCTGTAATTAATACACTTCTGGCCTTCTTCCAATTTACATTAAAATGCTGACCACTTGTAGCTTTCTCTAAATTCTCACTAATGTTGGAAGTGACCATCAAGCTGTTAACAAACGCTTCAAATACGTTTAAACATTCTGCTGATTTGATTAGAACATTATCCATATAAGTAAAATTGGTTTGAAATAGATCTAAAAATGTATCAATGTTTGCATGTTCCGGCCGCAAAGTCTGATAAAGTACACACTCGGGGTACACATCCTTTAGTCCATCTAATATATCATGCAAGAATAAATTGCCTTCTTCTTTACTAGGTCCAGCTTGATATACTCCAGGGTATGGTTTTATTTTTTCAACTTTTTGTTCTTTTTCAGTTTTAACAAATTTAATGTCACACACTCGTTTTGGATTGGTTTTCTTTGTAGTGGCCTAGGTCTATCCCATCCACATGCATTAGATGTACATGCATCTTTTGTCTTAACAAGTGTGTACAGAAGTGCACCTACGTGTGCACATAACCCTGCTCCCCCTGCTTTACAGTTACAAAAAGCACTAACAATTAGGCCAGTGACTTTGGTGGTACTTATATGCAGTGAATAGTACTTTGCAGTATTTCCAGTGTCTCCGACTTGTACAATTTGTCTCATAGAAGGCATACATTTACTCCTAAAATAATTATGTTCTGATCCTTGATTAATAGGATTATATTCAATGTCTCTTATGAATCCTTCGTTGCACAATCTTTTTGACTTTTTCATTTGCCTTTCAAAATTGGTACTCTCCCCAGTTGTGAGATTTTTGTGGTACATGAAATAGCTGTCAACATCTTTAATGGATATTTCTGGAATATCAGTAAAGTCTAGTGGTTTCCATGGATTTGAAACTAAATCAATTGGAATAACTGGAAAACTTTCTTCTTCTGAAAAGTCTGAGTCCTCATTTGACATTGCCCTATATACACGTTTGACTAATGAATCCTTTAGACCTGATTTCTTTAACTTTCGCTTTTCCAACCAATCCTTTAATTCCGGAACTTTCCATTTTGACAGTTCTGCCAATGACAGCTGTTCTTCTTGACATTCTGACTCTGAATCTGATGACATAACTCTGAAAAAAAAAAAAATTATTAAACTCTTATCGCTCACTAGAAATTTTCAAATTTTTCAAAGCATAATATTTTTCTGCAATTTTGTGTCGTCTCAAATAATTTAAAATATCAAGATTTTACACAGTATAATTAAAATAACTAGATATCATTGAGATGGGAGCCATCTCTGTGGGCCCCGCTGTGAATAATGTGTGGTAAAAAATTTGTATCTCTATCATTGGACATGGGGTTGTCAACTGAAACCGAAGTTTATGACCTTGAACTTTGACCTAGGAAGCTGTACATAAATTATGACACACCCTCTGGCGTTGGTTAATATACATGTCAAGTATAAACTTTGAAATCATAACGGTTCTCTAGATATAGAGTGGACATAATTTGTTACGGACTGACAGACGGACAGACTGATCACTATAGGGTGTCCGCCATTCGGCGGGGCCCTAATTATCATAACAGCCTTCACGGTAAACTTTTGAGACCACAAGCCTGAAGCTCAATTTTTTGAAAAGTTTCGTTGTACAGAAGAATTTTACAAGCCTGAAGACAGTCATAAAGATGTACAACTCTTACTAAACTTTGTGTCTTTTTTCTTGTGAATGTCACAGCCTTGACGATAAACTTCTGAATCTACAGTCAACTTTATGAAAATTTTATAAAGATTCCATTGGCCTGTTCAAATGAGTTTTACAGGCCTGTAGTTACATTTTTGTAAGTGGGAAGACGGGAGTGATGTATAAATAAGCGGCCACCTCCTGTCTGAATTGTATGATGTTTTTCTGCTTTAAATCAACCCTATGAGTTGAGCCCTTTTTCAATTGCAGCTTGTTCTTGTCAGGAGCTTGTAGTTCAGTAGTTGTCATTGGTTGATAATTGTCACATTTCATATGGTAATTTGTTTTGACAAAATTTGTTAAAAATTAGGTTGTTAATTTTTCTCAATTGAATTGTTTCATAACTTTACTGTCATGGCTTTTTATAAGTGACTAGAGAGTATGGGTTTTGTCAATATATGTTGAAGGCTGTACGGTTGCCTATAATTGCTTAAATCCACTTCATTTGAACTTTGGTGGATTGTTGACACATTGGCATTGATCGTGTTGATTACACATCTCTTTATTTTTATACGTGTAGATATCAATAAAATAACCATTAACTGACTCGAAATGTAAATTTTATTTGTACAAGGCTTACAAACAGGTAGAAAACAAGACTTTGCCAAACATTTATATCCTGTTATGAGCCGAATATGCAAGCGAGAAAATTTGAATTCACGAAATTTTCACTTTTTTTAAAGACTTTGTACATGTTGAATATTAACATGTTTATCAGGGGATTAATCATGTTACATGCACATGAGTTAATCCATAATACTATAAAGGTTTAGGAGGATCTGGATCCTCATAAATGGGTATTATACATGTTATACCCAACAAATTTTCATTGATAAAAATATAAGCTTTGGATTTAAAGATATTTTCTGTTGTGGTGCACGCATTCTGGTAAGGGACTTCATTTTGCCTAAAGACAACATACCTGAACATGCTGAATATGATCATCAGGAACAAAGTTAACAGCTGGCCAAAGAACATAGTTATTTTCGTAGTGCGTTTCTTTTAAACAATAAATGCAAATTAAAAAATATACATGTATATCCAAATAAAAGAAAAATTCATCAGCTCTAACTAATTGTATGGAAAATTTTAGGTTAAGGGGCCTGGGGTCTTGAATTCTTTTGAATGCTTCAGATATACTAGTTGTTAACCTTTTTTGTCTAGACCAAATTGAAAACACTGCAATAATCATAACTTTACTTTAAAATTTATGACCCAAATTTGTTTAGCAATGTAATTTCACCCCTAGTACGGTATTTAACCGTATTATATACATGTACATGTAGCTACATATTTGAGGCATACAAAATGAAGAAATAAAAAAATGCAACTAATACACTGTCCACGATAGGGACTATTAGTGGACCAGGAAAATTAAAGAACGATAACAGTGTTCTTGGACCAGCCTTCAAAAAGTAGGATTTGTATTTAAAAGTTCTCATTTGAACTATGGTCTTAAACTTCAAGGTAAAAACTTTGCCATGTAAATGAATATTTGCATTATGACAGGTATTATGAAGATATACAATTCTTTTTTAACACTAAATAGTCAATAATCTGATAGTAATGATACATGTACCCAATTTTGGATATAATATATCCTATAAATTTATAGTATTTATCATTTTATGAGGATTCTCCTTAACCATTTTAAAGCTTTCTTATGTTTTTCGAATAAAATCTTATGATTATGAGGCACAAATGTTCAAAATGTGGATTTCAAACAAACAAACACGGATATATGTGTAAGAATTTGTCTTTAAATCGTGTTGGTTGAAGAAAAACAACATCTTGTTTTCACATGTATTGATTCCAATTTCGTGCTTTTTACGCTTTACTATCACATTTATGACAAGAAGCATACTCATAAATCTTAACCTTACCATAAATTAACGTAACTAGTTGAATAGAATTAATACATGGTCGCTCTCCTTTCTGTTATACTATGATGAATGGCTTGTTATGAATTTTCCTGCGTAAAATGGTTGAACGTCCCGGAAGTGAAAATCTGTAAATTCTAATGGTCGGAACGTAAACGGAAAAAAACCCGGAACGGCTATTGCGGAACTCAACCATTGTTGTTATCGATTCTGAACAGCGCACGCAGAACATATACTTGAATGAGGTTAATTTAAAGATCCCGAGGGAATCCAAAAATAAAAACAAAGGGACTGACAAGTTTGATGCTTCGATTGTCACATTGGTTACAAATAGTTTTGAAATCTCTTATGTCGTATTGATATCATACAATACCATTCAATTCAAAATATTCTGATTGTAGATAGCAACTGTAGCCGTCTAGTTTTTAAATGTGCCCCGTCCGTTTTTTTTGTTGGAGGTCGGGTGATAATCGTGGTTATTAGAGTACAGTAACCACTTTTTTAAAACTGTACACTGTAGCGGTGCTTCCCCTTACCAGATGTGGATCAAGGATTTTAAAATTGAGGGCAAACTAGGAATCGGTTGAAACTGGACATGTAAATGTCTATGCATACTAAACCCCTAACAGGAGGGATTGTGCTTGATTTTCGTATGATGAAGACATAATCTTTCAATCAGTTTAATTGAGGTCTGGAGCTGGCATGTCAGTATAATTGAAGTAAAAAGTTAATTTATGCATCATTGTCATTTTACTTAGTTTCTTTTGTTACCTATTCTGACATCGAACTTGGACTTCTTTTAAACTGAGTTTTACTGTGCGTATTACTGTGTGTTTGTTTGTTCTACATTGGCTAGAGGTATAGGGGAAGGGTTGACATCTCGCAAACATGTTTAACCCCGCCGCATTTTTGCGCCTGTCCCAAGTCAGGAGCCTCTGGCCTTTGCTAGTCTTGTATGTTTTTTAATCTTATTTCATTTATATGTTTTGGAGTTTAGTGTGACGTCCATTTTCACTGAACTATTACACATTTTTGTTTAGGGGCCAGTTGAATCCGGCCTCCGGGTGCGCGATTTTTTCGCTGTGTTGAAGACCAATTGGTGGCCTTGGGCTGTTTTTTGCTCTTTGGTCGTGTTGTTGTCTCTATGACACATTCCCCGTTTCCATTCTCAATTTTATTATTAACCATACATGTAAGTAAGTTTGTAGATTATTTATTATAGTGACTTATGTAATTACAATAATGTGTCAATTAACATGATTTAACATAATATGTACATAAACACCCGACCCAATGTGTCTATGTCACCTAAAGTTCAAATTCGATTTGTGTTACGGATTTGCTAAAAAGTCTCAATAATCAATTTATCTAACCAGAAAATATATTGATTAATTCAGAATATATGTTTATCAATAAAGTTTTAAATAATAAGTTAAACTTGTCTAAAAA